AGGGGCACCAGCAGGGTTGGGGGTGCTGCAGGGGGCTTTTAATTTTAATAATGGATTTTGGGGGGGTTGTCAGAGAATTCATGATTTTTCATCAGAGAATTTGTGATTTTTTTATCACAGAAAACCAGTATGCGAGCAGCTTTTGCTTCTGCTAACAGATTAATAAGGAAACATGGGCATTAGAAGCAAGAAATGGCAGTGAGTTGCTAGAAAATTATTTTTAAATGGAGGCAGTTTTACTAAGAAAGGAGCAATAAGGACAGAAAGCAAAGGTAGCATAGCTGTCCCCTGGGTGGACTGTAAGGATACATGCATTGTTAATTCTTTTATACCACACCCTTGCCATTTCCTCTGTCAGATGCTCATCAAATGATGGTCAGTGTGAATGTCTCCCTAACATTGTGGGCCGTCAGTGTAATGAACCATCCCCAGGCTACTTCTTTGTACCACTGGATTATTATATCTATGAAGCAGAGCATGCAAAGGCACTCTCTGGATCTGCACCCCTGGTAGGTTGTTTTGTTTTCATTAACAGTATGCATAAGGTGGTTTAAATTGTTGTAAGGGAGTCTCAGTTGCTGAAAGTGAAAAGTGGGTGCCAAGGAGAGGGTGCTGTAGCTGAAGAAGAAATTAGTAGGAGAAAGGAAGATGAGTCAGGGAAAGTAGATTCTCCACCCTTGCAAGTTTAAAAGGCACTCCTCCTTCAGTCAGTGAACTCCACTGACTGAGGCACTTACTGGAGCTAAGAGAAATACACACAGGTGTCCTTTGCTTTCTCCAGTGATGGGCTCTCCCTGCTGTAAATCTGAGCATCCTAAGGATCTTTCTCACTGGCCAGTGACCCCAGGAGGCCATTACGGCAGCTGAATTTGCCAAGGGGCAGGAATAACCCTAGCCATAGTATCTTATCTCTGATGTTCACACAGCTTATGTAGAAAGGAAGCTCTGGCGGTGTGTGGCAGCTGTGGAGTGGATGGTCTTATGGAACTTTTTAGACAAACGGTTGCTTGCAAACACAGGGAACTATATTTGAAAGCTCAGATGGCCTTTTCCAGTCCTATGTTTCTATGGCACCTGAGGGGATGGTAATCATCTCTGTTTCATTATGTCAGCTTTAGAGTAGCTGTGATGGGAGGGAGAATCTAGTTCCGTTATGATCCCGTAGACTCACTTACATGGTTTTAGAAACTGACTCTGAACTGGTCAAGTTTTTCAGGTTTGTATATAAGTAAGTCATACTTCAGTTTCCCAGAATATTTTTAGGGGAATATCCAAATATAGACATAGTTAATTTGCATGCAGAGTGCAAGCCTGTTTCTGCTGGAAACAAGATTTCTACATCGCCAAGATTTTTACCAATGTCACTCCTTTATGTCATCCAGAATCTGCAAGGAGTAATAGTAACCATTATTTAATTGCAGTTTACATATGAAAATGTTCAGTTTTAATTGCTAGCTCTTATCAACCTACATGCCAATAATGATATAGAAAACAGTTTTCTGGGACATAAGTCTAAAGCAATGTATAATTGTGCACATGGAAATAAAAGTTATTTATAACAAAGTGAGTGGGAGAGTTTTAAACTTTCTGTGCCAAATTCTTAGTTATATAAATGTATATCAGCAAATAATTTAGCCTGTTTTTTTAATTTTGAAATTACAGAGCAGTTGTTCATTTAAAAGTGCTGTCATCTAAATGCTCCATTTTTTGCTTTTAAGGTTAAACCAACAACTTTTCCAAGGTGTGATATCTATTTCCAGCAGCAAGGATATGATTTCACAATTGAAAATGGAAAGATTATACTTAACAGGAGTCAGAAACGAAGCATGAGAAAAGTAGGTCTGAAACAGGTAAGCTAATACAACAGTTGAATGACAAAGGATGCAACAAGTGCTGCTGACGTTTAACACTGCCACAAGAGCACTGGGACTGGGATAGAGTAAACCACTGCTGACTATAAATGTAGAATATGCAGGCCTGCACCTCACAATTGAGTTTTTCAGTACACAAATGGGTTGGATATTACATAAATCATTCAAGAAAACCTGTCTATGTACACAGCTCATTTTGCCAGGTATAGACTATAAGCTTAGACCCAAAGATTTCATTACAAAGGAAAACCTAACCAGGAGAGAAGAAAAACCCTTTTTCATAATTTGAGGTCTATTTTCAATGTTTACAACTTGCTTGGATTGTAGATTCATATCTGTTAGATATATGGGGTGGGGTTTAATAGCACATATTTTGCTTGTTGATTAGGTGATGCTGACTAGCTGCTGAAGGTAATAAAGTACATGGCAAATGTGCACAATTTTTCAAAGCTTGTGCACATACCATTGATTGTTTAAAGTGTTCATATCTCTTTGCAGGGTTCAGTCCAATTTGGAAGGAACTCTATTCTGGACATTGTTTTCAGAGAGCCTCTCCCAGGGAAACCTGTCACATGGACAGGGTCTGGATTTGCCCGTGTTTCAAATGGAGCCGGATTAAGATTTATTATCAATAATATTCCCTTTACCATGGACTTTGACATTGCCATTCGTTATGAGCCTGAGGTGCGTGAAATCAAAATTTCAATTAACCAAGAATACTTTTCATACTTTCATAGTTTCTAGGGTCGGAAGGGACCTGAGCAGATCATCGAGTCTGACCCCCTGCCATGGCAGGAAAGAGTACTGGGGTCAAATGACCACAGCAAGGTGTACATCTAGCCTCCTCTTAAAGACCCAAGAGATTCTAAGAGATTGTTTCACAGCAGGTTGAAGCAGACTTGATTAATCAAGTGTGCTGAAGCATGGAAATAAATGTGCTCCAACAGACCCTGGCATCACATTTATTAGTGCCCTGCGCTGTAAAATGGTGGTGGGATGCTTTGAACTAAAGCTTGTTTGATGAGCTTTAGTTCAAAGTGCCCTGCCACCATTTTTCAGCATGGGGGATGCTGATACATGGGACACTCAGGCACTTTTAATTAAAAGCCCTTGCTTATTGAAGTGCTCCCCAGCGCTTCCCGGAGCATGTGTAAAAATTCCCCTTATGAACCTTGGGACGTGTTCTTTGACCACTTTGAGCTATTTTGCCTTGTTTTCAAGTAGGGCTATGCTGTTCTTTTTAAGCTGACGACACCTCTTGTCTCCTTCTCCATATAGTATGGGCAGCTTCTATAACTACTATATTTTCTTGGATACAATACACAGTTTTTCCTAAAATCAGCTGTTGTAATTTGGGATGTGCATTTTAAACAAGGAAATATGATAAGAACACAAGAATTGCCATTTACTGGGACAGACCATAGGTCCAGCTTGCCCAGAATCCTGTATCACACAATGTCAAGGAGTGGATGATGCTGAAAGGGAGAATGAACCAGGATATAACCAGGATTTTTTTCCCACTGTTCCTTTCTCACTTACAGTCTCCAGCATTTAAGGTCTAGGGAGTTTTAATTCAAAGACTGTATTCCTAACTCCCATGCTCAATAGCTACAGATGCCCTTTTCCTCCAAGAACTTGTCCGTTTTTGAATCTGGCTAAACTGTCAACCTCCACAACAGCTGGTTGCAGTGAGTTCCACACTTCAGTGACATGCTGTGTGTAAAATAACTTCCTTTTGTTAGTTTTAAACTTATTGCCTACTCGTTTCATTTTATGACCCCTAGTTCTTGTATTGTGTGAGAGTAAATAATAAATCCCTATTTACTTTCTTTTTATTTAGTATTTTCTAAACCCTTATCATGTCCCCACCCCGCAAGTGTCTCTTTCCTAAACTGAATAGACTTAGCCTCTTTAGTCTCTCGTCATCTGGAAGCCCCTCAATACTACCATACTACATCCTTGCTCCTCTTTAGACCTTCTCTAGTTCTTCTATATTCTTTTTGAGGTGTGGAGATCAGAACTGGGCACAGTATTCAAGGTGTGGATCACCATGGATTTATGAAGGGGCAGGATGATACCTTTTTGTTTTGTTTACAATTCTCTTCTTAATAATCCTGAACATTTTATTTGCCTTTTTGATGGCTGCTGAGCAGTGAGCTGATATTTTTAGCAAACTGTACACAGTGACTCCTAGATCTCTTTCCTGTCTGGTAACAGATAATGCAGAGCCCATTGTATAAGTATAGGTATTTTTGCTTAGGTGCAACCCTTCACACTTTTCTACACTGAATGGCATCTGCCATTAAGTTGCCCATTCACTCAATCATGGCAAATCCTTCTATAGTTCCTCTCAGTCTGCCTTGGTCTTTACCACTTTGAATAATTTTGTATCATTGACACATTTGGTCACCTCACTACTCACCCTCTTTTCCAGATCACGTCTGAGTATGTTAAATAGCACTGGTCCCAACACAAATCCCTGGGGGGCCTATTGTTTATTTCTTTGCATCCTGAAAACTGACCATATATACTCACACTTTGCTTTTTATCTTTGAGCCAATTTTTAATCCACAAGTGGACATTCCCTATAATCCCATGACTACCTTAGTTAAAATCCTGTGATGGGGGGACCTTGTCAAAGCTTTTTGGAAGTCCAACTATTTTGTATCAACTGGATCACCCTGGTTCACCTGCTTATTGACACCCTCAAAGAACTCTAGTAGGTTGGTGAGACATGATTTCCCTTTGACAAGGTCATGTTTATTCCTCCCCAACAAGTCACGTTTCTCCATGTGCTGAACAATTCTCTTTTTTGTATTATTGTTTCTGCCAGTTTTCCAGGAACAGAAGTTACTACTTGCTTTGCCTTTCAGTAGCATTGCTGCATTGATGAGCATGTGAGAGAGAATGTGAGTGTTTTTTTTCTCCTAATTTTTTCCTACCTGCTTAGTCTTTAGAAGACTGGATAGCGAGTATTGCCGTTAACCCCCGTGGAACTTTAGCAAATGAATGCTGCAAGAACAAGCCAGACCCACAGAAGCCATATGCATTGGCCCTACCAGCTAGAAAGAGGTCTGGATATTACCTTCTTTACCACTCTTTTTTAATGTTCATGTGCTCTTATTAAGTTGTTGTGATAAGTTCCTAGGAAAGTGAGAATATGCACAGAATACTCCCAGAATTAGGATGATGCATGTGATCCTTCACATTGTCAGGACACCATAGACAGCCATGTGATGCAGAGTGAGAGTTTGACACTTTAGCAACTGCTCCAGCAAAAGTCTACTTTGGCTGAAGTGCACTTTTGCATCCTTGAGGGAGGAATGCAAGCTGAGATCCTGCCCATATAGTGATTCTTTTTGGATAATAGATCAACGGTTCAGACACAATGTCAGGGATTAGGACCCGTTTCATTAAAGAGATGGAAAAACTGATTGACACCAGTGTTGTCCTTAGCATTTCACTCTCATCAGCAGGGATCCTGGTTTTCACTGATAAAAAAATCACAAATTCTTTGATAAAAAGATCAAAATTATCTAATAAAACCCCCAAATCCATGATTAAAATGAAAGGCCCCTCACTCCTTCCCATAGCCCCTCAGGCCCTACTGGTGCTTCTCACTCCCCAACCCCACAGCCCCCTGGACCTGCTTTTGCCCCTTACTACTCCCACAGCCCCCTGGCCCTGCTTGTGCCCCTCACTCCTCCCCACAGCACCCCACCCAGCCCTGCTTATGCTCCTTGCCCCCTCCCCACAACCCTCTGCCACCCCCAGCCCTGCTGGAGGGGGCTCCCAGCTGTCAGGGTTCCTGAGGCCAGGGACCCAGGTCCACAGCCCCCTGCCCCCAGAAAGAGGTGATGGCTGCTGCAGTCAAGCAGAGCCTGGCTCCCTCCCCCCGGCTTGCTACCTGCCTACTGGAGGCGTGGGTGGGGGGCCCAGCTCTCCTCCTCTGTGCACACTCCTGGGCAGGGGTGACCTGTGCCCCCAGATCTGTGGTCAAGGGTGGATGCAGGTTGCCTATTGTGGGCTTGGGCTCCCCACCATGCTGCCCTCCCCTGCGGCCTCTGCAGCCTAGTGGGTGCGACCTGGCAGTGCAGGGAACAGTGGAGCCGTATGGGGATCTCCCTGCCACTGCGAGCTCCACGCTGCCGTGTTGATGCGTTCCCTGCAAGTTTGCAGCAGTGAGGGGCACAACCCTGTGCCATTGCTCCTGCTGCTGCTGTGTGTGTAGGGGATGTGTCACCAGGGCAGCACAGAGCTCGCAGTGTCTGTTCCCTCCAGTGCCAGGTCACATCTGCTGGGCTGTGGAGACCCTGGGAAAGGGCAGCAGGGTGGGGAGCACGAGCCCACAGCAGGCAGCTTGCCCTGCCTCACGCACAGATCTGGGTGGCATGGGTCCCCCAGCGGGTGCCACCCCACAGGCCCCCGGATAAGCTGCCTGTGGCCTTGTCCCACACCCTGCCAGAGCCCTGCAACAAGGCATTGCAGCCCTGGTCCCCAAGCCTCACATACTGTCCAGCACTGCCCAACTCCCTCCCTCCCTATGGGGGCCTCATTCCTTCCCCCCCGACACACACACACACACACACACACACACACACACACACACACACACACTCTCTCTCTCTCTCTCTCTCTCTCTCTCTCTCTCTCTCTCTCTCTCTCTCTCTCTCTCTCTTACTTACCTGCAGGAGTTGCTCTCCAGGCTTCCTGGTGGCCCCACGTATATACATGCACATAGTGCCTTCCGCCTGACCGTTCTGCTCCTGCTCCCCCCAACCCCTTGCAGGCTGGAACTCTGCCAGCCTGCAGAGAGCTCTTTGCAGAACTGCAAAATCCACAGTTTTCTCCAGTAAAATGAGATATCTGTATTTTCCTCTGGTAAAGGGTAAAATCCATGGTTTTCTATGTTTTTCCATGGGAAACAGAAAACCTGGATCCCTGCTCATCAGACTGAAATAGTTGGCAGAGAGGGGCAGAGAGGGCTTCAGATTAATATCTCTTTCAAACAAGAGTGGTTGGAAGTATACACGCATGACCAGTGACTTACAACCTCCACAGCTATCCTAAGAATGATTATGTGAGCATTGCCAACACAGTTCGGGAGTTAGGAGAGCAGCAATTAATAGAATGTTTTTTGCAAAATCATCTTTTTAAAACCAATTCAAATTTATATTTATAAAATACCACTCTAGCCTTTTAACAATCATGGAGACTGTGTGGTGTCATAAACAAAAATGACATTAAACATAGAAACCAGTTACACACTCCTCCATATTAAACGCCAACATGGTATCTCCTCTCCTGAGTATGTGTGTGTGTCTCCCTGCCTCTTTAAGACAAGTGAACACAGAAGACTATTCCAAATCCTTTTCTTGAGTAAATGACTTCTACTTATTGACTGTCTGATAAAGGAACATTGACTTTTAATTTTGGTTTACTCCTTCTAACAGAATTGCACTTCTACAGACTCCTTTCTGCTTAGAACCAGGAGCAGGGTATTCTGTAGATGTTTATTTTTCTCAGCCTTCTGCCTCTGACTCAAAGACTAAATCAGCCATCTTGATTGATTCAGTAAGTAACCTTGCAGTCGACTTCCTTTAATAACATTGTATCTGCTTCCAACTTTTACAGAGGCATATTCCAAATATTTGCTAAATAGTTTTTAGAATGCTAGTTTTAATTACTGAAAACAATTATTTTATTAGAAAAATAGAGATTTCTATGTACTAGTTTATATTTGTATACTAATCTGTGTACAAATTCTGCAACAGCATGGCCAGTTTAAGTAATTGCACATGGTAACAGCCAGTTAGGTGTGAAATGCATCATTTTCTGTGAGTGCACTCCAAACAGACTTAGGAAGTATTTTACTTCTGTAACTGTACACAGAACTTTGTGCACATGATTTTTTTGAGAACTGAGTCTAAAATGTATGATACTCTATTTTTCTATGATTCTGTAATCATGTAAGACCAGATGTGTGCAGCAGGGCAGCCCCAGTTGCTGGTGCTGATGGCCGCAGGGCGTTCACATGCCACTGTGGCAATGACCATTTGTGCTCCTTTCCTGCCCCCACCCCACAAAGGCAGCACCCAGGACTGCTGCCCCAGTTGTCCCCTATTAGTTACATTACTGCAGGGGTGGGCAAAGTCTGTGGAGACCCCAGGAGCATGGGGCCATGACAGCGCAGGGTTAGTGCCTTCATGGAGCCACTGTTATTTCTAGTGCCTCCATGGAGACCAGCCCAAGCAGCATGCTGGCAGGGCACATGTCTGGGTGCGGAGCTGCTCTGGGGCCAGGACTTTGTAGCGGTGACAGCATGGGCTGGAGCCAGGGCAGAGCTGTGATCTGCTGCCCCAGGGGCATGCAGGTAGCAGATTGCAGCTCTGCTTCAGTTCTGGCCTGTGCTGTCACTGCCACAAGACCCCAGCCCTGGCCCAGAGCAGCTCCGCACCCAGCCATTGGCCCTGCCAGTGCACCACTTAGGCTGGTTTCCTTGGACATGCTGCCCCTCTGCTGCCACAGCCCCGCCACTCCTGGGGTCTCCATGGAGACTGGCCAGAGCAATGTGGGCAGGGGCTGCTAGAAAATGGAGTCCTCCACAGGCCCAATCCGGCCCATGGGCCAGAACTTGCCCACCCCTGCAGTAGTGTAACTATTGGGGGACAACTGGGGCAGCAGCCCTGAGTGCTGCCTTTGTAGGGGTGGGGGGCATAAATAGTCACTCCCACAGTGGCAGATAACTGCATAGCTGCCATCAGCACCAGCAGCAGGTGCTGTCCAAGCATCGTGGCTGCACTGGGTACAGAGCTGTCATGGCCCCGCCACTCCTGGGGTCTCCATGGAGACCTGCTGGAGCAATGCAGGCAAGGGCTGCTGGAAAATGGAGTCTGACCACCAACCAAATCCTCCATTTTGCCCACTCCTGGCCTAACACCTTAGAAAAAATGTGGGATGAAGTAAAGGAGCAGCAAGGTAGAGGATCTAGAAATGGCTGAGTTCTGGGTCTGTAACCATAAAGTGTAGAATTAAGTAGAAGAGACTGGTAAGCTATAGTTTTCTGTACACCTACACAAATATCTAATCATTTCTTTCTTGTCAAACCTCAAGCTTGGCCTTATTCCTAGAATCAGTTCTGTGGAGAACTTGTGTAGTAAGAAAGACTTGGATGAGTATCAGCGGTATCATTGCACTGAAATTGCTTCAGAAGCTGGACCTCATATTTTACCAGAAGTATGTGCAAGACTCATAGTGAGCATGTCTGCTCATATTCACAATGGAGCAATTTGTAAGTATCAGTTCCAACAGGATGGTATAGGTGCTTCTGCTGCTTGCTGACTTACCGTGTTTTCTGTAGAATACTGATATTTTAACAAGAGTACTCTTTAATTATGTATGTGTAAGTAGTCATTTAGTAAATCTTGCATTTAACAACTAGAGGAATGCTGAGCAGATATTCCAGTATGCTTCCCTGCAGGGATTCCTCAAGCTCAATCGATTTCTGAAAACAATGGGGAAGAAAGCACCAATTGCCTCCTAGCTGACACCACTCCCAGCCTACCCCCAGCTCACAGATGAAACTTAAGTTCTGGAGGCGAGATGGCTCTGGGCAGGGTTATCAGCTGTCAGTAAATTACTGACTGTTGGTAAAAAAAATCAGGCTAAGAATGGCTATCAGTAATGTCTGTAAAAAAACAAACAAAAAAAAAACCATTAGTGACCAGTAAAAACACTACACAGTTGTAGCTTGATTACAGTTCCAACAGACAGAGCAGAGCAGTATCACCTGCTGTCCGAGTAGGAGTGCAGCACCATAGAAGGAGCATTCTCTCAGGCATGTGCTGCTGCTGCTGCATCCCAGCCTGTCAGTAAAACTGCTGGGCCACAAGCTTCATGGGAGAGTCTATGCTGGGAAGTGGGGTAGCAGAACTGGGAGTGGTAAGATGGGGGGAAAGGGTTGGGGGAAGCAGCATGGTGCAAGGTGCAGTGTGAACATTAGGGCATGGAGGTTCATAGGAGGCCCCTGCAAGGGGGCAGCACAATTTAAAACTATTGCTGCAGTCAAGTAGGTTTGCCAACCCCCTCCCCCCAAAAAAATATTATTGTAAACTTTTTGCCGAAAACCAAACATTTCCAGGTTTTTTACTCTGATTGATGTTAAACCCTTAAATTACATTGCAACCGTTTTAACTATGACCTAGCAGCAGGGTTACATTTATTTACATCAGGTAAAACATATCAGTAAAAACATGTGTCCGTAAAAAATGGTTGACTGTCAGTAAAAAAAAAAAAGGGTTAGCAATGCTGGCTCCAGCAGGGAACTGAGGCTTGTGGGACCAGATATTGTTGGTAGGGTCCCCCTCTGCTCTTTCCCTGCATACCCTGTTAGAAGCCTAGCCCCTGTCTGCAATGTGAGAAGGGTCAATGAACCAGTTCACATCCTATTGGTACAATTAAGGGTAAATTCTTGCCTACAAAGCAGTGAATGGAAAGTCAATTTGTCCCTCCCATATCCACCCTGCCCCGCCATTCTCTGCCAGAAAGCTGTGCCCCCCTGCCCCTCTGAGCGCTGCCCACACCACACATTTCTTTGGAGGGGTTCTGGGGATCCTTTCCTCCTAGTTTTTGGATATTAATTACTGCCCTCTAGGCAGTAGAGTTCAAATTGAGGATGAAACAGGCCTTGGAGCAGGAGGTGGGGGTGGGGAACAGTTCATTCTGGGATGCTGAAAAACAATATCTCTTTGGAGCAGGTACACATTTGATGTTCCTGTCAAAGATATCATGACCCCAAGATAAACCTTGACTGTGAAAGGGCAAAACTTTCTCGTTTGTAACTTTTTGTTTGCACTTGTTATGTCAGAAATGGCTTGAACATGCATCTGCCTACACTTTGGCACATCACAAATGCATTTGGAATGGCACAAATTGAATAGGTGCCAAGGACCTAACTGTAAGACTTTTTTGTTTGTCCATTCCCTGGGACAGCCTTTTTCTTGGAACACAACATATAAAAAAAAACACAATATTTCTGGTTTCTTCAGAAATCATTACAGCTACTTTGGCATGTTTCGCAGTATAAAATCCAAGTTTTTTGGCTTTTAGGAGCAGTGTATATAGCATTTGTTAAAGAAAACTAACTTTTTTAGGGTCCTAAATTATAGTTTCATAGTTAGTAGGGTCGGAAGGGACCTGAGCAGATCATCAAGTCTGACCCCCTGCCATGGCAGGAAAGAGTACTGGGGTCAAATGACCCCAGCAATGTGTTCATCTAGCCTCCTCTTAAAAACCCCCAGAGTAGGACCTAGCACCACTTCTCTTGGAAGTTGGTTCCAGATCCTAGTCGCCCTGGCCGTGAAGTAGTGCCTCCTGATGTCTAGCCTAAATCTACCCTCTGCCAGCTTGTGACTGTTATTTCTAGTCACTCCTGGTAGTGCTCAGGGGAACAGGGACTCCCCCAATGCCTGTTGGTCCCCTCTGACTAGTTTGTAACAGGCCACTAGATGCCCCCTCAGCCTTCTCTTGTGGAGGCTGAACAGGTTCTGGTCCCTTAGCCTCTCCTCGT